TCTGAGGCCCAGTGTAGTCCATACTGAGACCCTAAACAAGGACTTCTTCCTACCCTTCATCCTGAGCCACCCCTATGCTCTTTTGTGACACTGACATTCAGCAGAAGAATTGCAGACACAGAATTTTAGAGCCATTAAGGTCAGAAAAAAACTCTAAAATCATCTAGATCAACCACCCATCTACCACCAATATTGTCTGCTAAACCATGTCCCCAAGTACTGCATCTATACTTTGCTTAAAAGATGGTGATTCCATCACCTCCCTGGGCAGCCTGTTCCAGTTCTTCCTAATAACCTGAATCTCCCCAGCTTGAGACCATTCCCTCTCATCCTATCACTGTTATCTGGGAAACGAAGACAACCCCCACTTTGCCACAACTCTCTTTCAGGTGAGTGTAGAGATCAATAAGGTCTTTCCTGTGCCTCCTCTTTAGTCTGACCAATCCCAGTTTTCTCAGCTGCTCTTCATAAGATTTGTGTTCCAGGCGTTTCGCCCAAAAGATGGCTGCTCTTTGTCTGTGTTTTTGCCAGAGGGATCTCTTTCCAGAAGATGCTAAAGCTGGAACTTAGCAGAGGACCCTCATTTGTGCACTATTGGTTTTGCAATATGTGGCAGAAAAACAAACCATGGAGGGATGGGATATGCACTTGTTCACACACATAGGAAGGGGGCTGGCGGAGAATACAATGGGATGAGTCTGTTTCTCACAGAGAAGACCTGGACCGACCCAGAGTGTGGTGAAAACTCTAGGGTTAGCTTATCAACAGCACAATGATGATAAATCCAAGCAAATGCATTTCTTGATCAGATACAGAGTAACCTGTCTACTTTCTGTTACCTCTCCACTTGTTTGAGCTTCTTCGCTTATATCCACCTTCCCCCTTTCAATTCTCATAGCAGCTGCTGCACTAAAAATACAATTATATCCCTGAAAACTGATGGATTTCTATTCTGACACTTTGTCTTTGGCCTTTAGATTTAAGATTGGCTCTCAAGTGACCTCTGCCCCACAGGTCAGTAGTTAAGTCGCCTATTCTCTCCACCTCTTTTCATCACCCAGCCTTCAAAGGACAAAAGTCAGATCTGCCTTGCTCACACTGCTTTAGCTATGGCCACTGCATATCATTCTCTAGCAGCAGATAAATTCATGGGAGACAGTTAGATATGGGAAGATAAATTATTAAATATTTCCTTAATTGTGCGTCTCTGGAACACCTTGGTGCTGCAGCTTCTACTTCGAGCTCAGAACAAGATGCTGAGATGTATCTTAGTGTCCTAAATAACACCTTTTTGCCATTTACATTGGCTGACTCAGGAATCGTGTGGGTCTCCCTTAAGTCCACTGTAGCCTCATCCTCCCTGATTTAGGCTCACTATAACTAATAAGGCTGCTGAGTGCATGTATGTCTTACTGCAAAATTGTCCCAATCTGAACAACAACACATCTAGGTTTTAAAAAAAAAAAAGAAAAAAGAAAAAAAAGCACCATCCAGATCTGTGTATGCATTGCACAACATGCAGTTCTAGATGCAGTATGTTTCATGTCAGCTAGGATTTGAATCCACTGAATCCCAGGACAAAACCCTGACTTTATGCCTGGCCTCCCTCTGACCACAGGCTGGCCCTCACTAGAATTCACACAACACTAGAGCCTTCTTGCAAGACATGATCTCAGCACTTTTCTTCCTTTACTCAACCCCAGTCTCTAAGGAGACTTCAGTTACGATCCATAGGCACGAAGCAGATACTGAGAATGTGGAAGACCAAATGATGAACACAAGTCTGGACAACAGTCTTGTTCTTAGGGGTGCTGTGGTTAACTTAAACTTAAGCTTTACTGGCAACAGTTCCCCTAGGTTCTACAATAGCAGAAGAGTGCCACTTCTCTACTGGCAGTCCTGGCAGCCACCCTCTGTAAAAGGTAATCCTCATTCAGTCTGAAATGTGGAGATACATTCTTCTGTTGATCTTCATGGAAATTCTGAGTAAAGGAATGATTCATCAGGATTTCTGCTTCACAAAGGCATGTGAGGACGCCTCACTCCACTCAAGCTAGCATGTGCCATGAGTTGGAGAGAAACATAACTTATTTTTTAACCTTGCATCATACCATTTTCTATCTGGAGACACCAAAAATTCTTCTATAAGATGACCACCTTAATTAGTTTTCCATGCAGTATTAAGAGCCATGTTATTCCCCTTACACCTCTCCCTCCTCCCCCTGCCCCCCCCAAAAAAAGGAAAAAAGTGCCACTCAACCCACTTTAGCACTACTAGATACCTGTAGCAGACACAGTAGGGATCTTACTATTAGGGACTATTACTATAAACCTTAGTATAAGTGACTATTATGTCATTTATACTAAGGTTTTGCCACTGCCAAGATATGTGAGAGATGTTTTCAGCCAGCTACAACTGATGTGGTAGATCTCCATGCCACAGGAGCCATTATCTTCCCAGACAATTTTGAGTGTACCAACCAGTGTGGCATTACCTGCAGCAAGCAGAAGATCCTCTCTGAGTTGACATAGCCTTGCATGGTATAAATACATATCTTCAAGTTCACATTTGCCGATTTCATTATTTTTATATAGAATCCCCTGGGAAATCTTTCTCAGGCATGTTTTGCACAAACATGCCTCTCTTGCACATCATAAAGTACCATTGAATGTTTTGAGTTGGAAAATCACCAGAAAGTATTAGTGACAAAAAACAAAGAATTCCTAACGTTGTCTGTCATCTGATATTACTTCCAAGTTGTTTCTAAGATCAAGAATCTTGCATAAGGTCTAAATAGAAGAATGAATATTTACTGGAAATTACATTGCAGTGAATCTGATATCCTCTGCCAAGTGGTATGCAACTGTAAAACAAAATTTTAGAGAAATTTTTACGGACAAAGAGAGATTCATTTCTTAAATAATTTATTTGGAATATATTAGATGTTAAATAACATAATGTAGCGCAAAACGTGATCAGGCACACCATATTTGTTCCTGATTGTACAGATAAGAAATCCCCAAAACACGAAGGAAAAAAAAAAACAACCTGACAAAAAACTCTTTGGCCAATAGATTTAGTCAAATACACATGGGATGTGAAAGTAGGGGGCTCCTAAATGGAGAAGAAGAAAGAAAACACTGATGAGAACCAAAACAATACTGAGAAAGGAACTTGAAGGGATAGGGAATATTACAAGCACGTTACATTGCAGAACTGACAGGTTTCCTTTTGCCTTCCCCAGGCAATAATTCTGCTGATGAGATACTTTGACTTGTCTTGGTGACACATGTTTCTTAGGACAGCAAGTGGCTGATAGAACAAAGAACACAATCACACTTCACCAATCAGTGCTCTGATTTATTTGGACTAATTCATTGAAAAGCTAGAAGAACATCTTGTCTCATTACCTTGGATGCAGAGGTGGGGAGAAGGCAGTGCTAGTTGCACAGACCATGCAAAAGACTCCTATGTGTTTCCACTCAGCTGCTCTCCTGTACCATCTTTAGCCCTCAGAACTCAGTAATGCAGGAACAAGCAAGTGGAGATTCACAGTGTTCGGAAACAAGATGGTCATTAACCATTTAAACTTTTTTTTCTTTTGGTCAAAGGTTTCCAGTGATATTCCTGCACCCCACAGCATCAACCCTGTACGGAGTGAGCAGTGTTGTTCTGTCAGTGCATTAAGCAGCACAAGATGCACTTCACAAGAACCAGACCTGTCCAAGGAGGAAGGAGAAAAGTATGCCTGCTGTTTGGTGAAGCTTTAAATGCAGCTGAGCTGTGGGTGGCAAATACCCTCAGGTAGAAGGGCTGTATTTGTTACCTAAACAAGCCCTGTCTCCGCTTCCTGAAGGCAGCTCCCTGTGTCACAAATAAGAAGAAACAGCCCAGGGAGATGCTTTGGCATGTGGATGATCTGTTTCTTTACCTGCCATAGAGTTTTTTCTAAACACTGACACGTACCTTGTTTCATTTGGAAATAGAAAGGACTTTTGTCAAAGGAAATATGTGTTAACATTGAAGAAGGTCTACTTGAGCCCAACGTAATTTTTTCTCTTGCTCTCAGCAGCTTTGTACCTTTGCAATGAGCAGGACAAATCTTTTCTGATACAGGTTATAATTCAGGGAATTGATTTGTGTAACAACCCACAGTGATCACCCTCACAAAACTCTGCTCATCCTGCTCATTGCCTGAATACAGCATGGTGGCTGCCAAGACACCTGGCATGCAGCCTGTGCCAAACAGGCACTAGAGCACATTGCTCATTACATCCCACCTGTGCACGAGAAGGGCAGTGGTCGCTTGTGTTCCATAAAGGTTTTCTGAGAGTGTCATTCAGGCCTTTTTCCTGAGACCTCTTGCTCAGAACGAGGGCTTCCCCTGTTTTTACAGCTGTTGAAGAACAAAGGCATTTAGCCAGCAATCTGCTTGATGGGTTTTGATAGCAGCTGGAGTGTAGTCAGCCAGCTTCCTTCATGTACACATGCTGTGTACTGCTAGGTATAGGCTTCACAGATTTCTCTGAAATTCATCTTTGACTCTACCTTTATTTTAAAACAACACTTTTGTTTCAAGCTAATTTTAAATTTTGTTAAATAGCATTTTGCTGTAATATTAGGGATTCCTCCAGTCTGATAAAGATGTAGCCAGGTTCAAGGGTCAGGATTTGTATTTTCAAAGAAGTTCAAGTTGGAAATAAGATTTGCAGTGAATGCAGGTGGTTACTAGAACCAGCAGTGGAGGACTGGAGAAAATACAACATCCCTCAAAACCTTTCACTGCCATGGCCAGGTGTCTTTTTGGACACGTTTTGTGGCACATTCATCATTTCTTAAGCTCAGAGTGCTTCTTCAAAATGCCAAGGAAGAATAATCTCTTCCCCTGACAGAACCACTGGATGGATTTCTATGGCCCCAACTGATAGAGGAGGTCAGGGCAGTGGCTTTTCTGGCTTAGAATTGTCTGTTACAGCAGTGAGTCTTTCCTAGTTCCCAGAGCATGACCTCTTTCAATTGCTCTTTCAATTGCTAGCTGACCAAGGAATTCCTTTGCCATTAAATGGAAACTTAAATAAAGCAGTAATAAATACAAATAAATCATCATTGTACATAGACAGGCAACCCACAAAGATAGTGACTATCAGACTAACACCAAGACAGCGTCTCTCGTTCTCTGCTAAGGAGATGAAGTCTCTGACCAGCATTCTGCAATGTTGCTGCTCATGCTAGGAGAAGAGGCACCACAGCTTTCAATGAGAGTTAGCTCCTCCATACTCTGCAAGCATGGGGCTTGCTGGAAGAATCCCAGGATGCTGCCTCGTGCTGCCACTGCTGTCTGCTGCAGGCCTGGCTCTCCCAGCACCTTGACAAGGAAGTTGATGTATCTCATAGCTAGCCGTAGTGTCTCATTCTTGCTCAGTTTTTTGTCTGGTGGATGGGTGGGAATAAGTTTCCTCAGCTTGGCAAAGGCGCTGTTGACATTTTGCTGCCTCCATCGCTCCCTGGTGTTGGTGAAGATCTTCCTGGTCATTTTCAAGGTGCTGTAAAGTAAAGGAGATGGATCTTGAGTGCTAGATATCCCTGACTTTCCTGCAGGCTGATGCTCTGGGCATGCCTTTGTGGCATCTGGGCATCACCTCTGTGGCAGCTGTGAACACTTGGTCATGATGCTAGGAATTCTTAATTGTTGCCCTCTGTGGCTGATATCGTTGCCCTGCACACACAGATTCACCCCACTTTTAGAAATTATGTCTCAGTATAAATCCACAATCATAGACATAGCAGCTGCAGACACCAGAGTCCAATAAAAATTTCACAAAAGAGTAAATGAATTTAATTTCCTTGTACAGCCCCGCAATGCTGCCTTTATCCCAGCTTCTCCAGCCTCCTAAGGTTCTCTCACAGGAAAACTCCCTTTAGCCTCCACTTCAGTCCTCTCAGCAGGCTGTGTGGGGCACCTGAGCACTTCTTGCAGGGTAAGAAGGGAGGGGTGGGCAGGACCATGACAAAACACCCACGTTTATCAAGGCCCATTTCACACCTTCTTGGGGGCTGTTCCCACCTGTCCCAAGTTTCAGAGTATAGCAGGAGATAAGCCATACATAGGTGGACCTTCAGCAGGGGCCTTCAGAAGGCAACAGCTGATGATAATGAACACATGGTTACTTTAGGATTACTTTAGGTTATTTTAGAAGATTTCTCCAGGGAAGCAATGATCTGGTTCCCTGCCCACATTGATGGCTCACTGCTGGTGACAGGGATTCTCCGGTTCAGTACACTTAGGCTTCTATTTTAGCCTCTGAGATCTGCTAAGACTAAGCCACAAATGCCACGAGTGCTCCTGGGCAGGGTTCACAGGCTGTAAAGGGACAATGTGATGCCTACAAAATGTGCAGGCATTCCAAAAGTCCATGCAGATGTTACTGGCCATGCTGCTTCACAGTGCTGAGCAACAAAGGGGACCCAGTGCCCAGAACAGACCTGGAAACAGGACACTGCTGTGCTAGGTGCAATGGGTGGTTTTAAATGCCATTTATTAGAAACGTTGTCAAAAACTTTTGGAATTCACCTAATCCTGCTCATTGATGTTTTCAGCCCATGGGAGACTGGCTGTCAGGCCACCCTGCTGTTCTTGCTCATTTCCATTTCCCAGGAAAGCCCTCAAGTTCTGCTCAGAGATATCTGATGGCTGTAGTTCCCTCTCAAAAGCCTTCCCTTCTGCCTCACAGCCGTGTGGGAGATATTCACTCTTCCATTTCTGAAGTGTTTTTTTTATGCCAATGGCATGCAGACAGCTGGAGCAGAGAAAACTATCGACAGCAAAGGGACTAAAGGACAAATGCTTCCAGCTTCTCTCTCATGAATGTGAAACTCTCAGCTCTTTGTATTAATCAGCAAATTCACTCTCAGGGCAGTCCTAGAGGCTGCAAAGCAGGGGAGGCAACGCTCCTCACGCTCAGAACGGAAAACACTGGAGATCCCTGCTACGAAGCCATAGCCATGTGAAGAAGCCTCATGCTGTGCGAGGTGCTCACCTTCATCGAAGCATGTGGCAAAATTCTGGGTGAGTAAAGCAATCCCACTGTGACACAGAGATCAAGTGGGTCTTCCTTGGCAGGGAGGCAAGACACGCACAGCAGACGGGAAGTCCCCTCTCAGCACCTTCACTTCACAGTCTAACACTCCTTGCAAATCACCAGGCAAACACAGCTGTAGGGCCATAAATCATGTTGGAGCCACATTCAGACACCTCCATCAGAGACGCACTCATGTAGACTATATATGGTTGTGCTCCCAGGTGGTCTCATCTGTAGCTTCTACACTGCTACCTCACTGCTATTTTAGTAGAAGGTTGGAACTACCGTCAGCCCAGTTGTCTACACCGCCTTAAGGGGACAAGAAAGTTGTCTGATCAGAATGTGCTTGTTTCATGAGCAGCTCCTGTTAAAAACTAGCTCTAGTATTTTAGGTGGCTGAGGGTTCTTCCTGTTTTTGTAAACTTGCATTGAGACCCATTTCTCAATCCAAATGGAGATTGTCTTTTTAAACAGTATATTTTATTTTAAAAAAATTAAATTGCCTTCCTACTCTGAATATTACTTTGAGTTTGTGCATTGTGGACAATCCTTCTTTGTCCTCTGCACTCACCTGGAAGAGCTAGCATGCACCTTTCAGGCAATAATGCTGCCAAGTCAGGAAAATAGATTTCAAGCATTGTCCTCCAGTGCTTCTGTCAGCTGCAGCATGTTCATTCCCCAAGGCAAAATTTTTGCCATTACAATTTTATTCTTCCAAGCAGCTGCTTGGATTCATATGAAATTCAGAGCACCACCCACTTCTCTCCACCCTTTTCTGTTTCAGTTTGGTTCAGTTTGTTTGTTTGCTTGTTTTAGAATAAATTTATCTGTGTGCAAAACAGTTGTTTTTTTATAAACTAGGGAAGATTATTTGGGCCTCCTTGTTTGTTCTAGTGGTCTGGGTGGACTGTGTTCCATTCCCATCCATGTGCTATCATTCTGGTACCCTGCTCTGTTTGTTTGCATCTCAGTCGTGAATGCCGGTGGAAGCTCGACTGCTTCCTCCTGCTGCATAGCACCCGGCACAGCACTCCGTGAGAACAGGTCAGTGCTGCGAACTGGAGCGTGGTCACCTCGTCACTTTAGCAGCGTTATGGTGGAGAAATAACCCCCAGCCTGCTCCTTCGCACCACGCTGCCTTTGTCTCTCTCCTCTTTCGCTTGGAAAGGACAATGCTGTATCTGTGGTCACAAGCCTCGTCAGCAAATAGATGCCTTTGTGAGACCAGTGCCTGCTTTACACTTCAAAAGTGTGTGCTTGTATTTCTGACATTTGTTCAAGATCAGCAAACAGCAGCTTCCCCCGCCCTGCTACCTCCTCCTGCTCTAGTGCCTGTACAGGGAGGTCCCTGCAGCTGTAAATCACCTCCACAGCCTCTCCACCTTACATCTCAGTCCTCTCGCTCCTCACTGTCTTGGTGCTTCACATAATCTCATTGTTTCTCTGGGAGGTTCTGCTGGAAAGGTGAGAGAAGAATGTGCCTAGTCCACGACTGCCCAATGTTAACGTTTCAACACAGCTTAATTCCTCACATCATCACCAACACACCCTTCCAATTTTCTCTAACTATGGCACCTTCCAGTCAAGGAGCAGCGAGTTCACTGACAAAGCATCTGATTTCCATTCCTTTTGTCTCATTCCTTCCCTCCTCCTCCCTCCTTCTCTCCAGCCCTCCCCACCAGGCTTGGCTTTCAATGTGAAATTGCGTGCAGCTTCGGATCTTCACTAATGCTGCACGTCTGAGCAATATATTCTTCAGCTTTCCTGGTGCAGTGCGTAAAATATGTATTGGCTGGTGGCTGCGTGCAATTTGTATTGCACCAGCCCATTTTAAATCTCTGCAGAAATCACCACTTTGTTTCCACATACTGCAGACAAATTGCTTTATCCTGCACACCTGGATTATTCAGTGCTTTCTGGTCATCTCTGCCAGCTACAGGCTAACAGCCCACATTTATGTGATGAAGGAGGAAAATGGGAAGGCAATCCTGCCTAGATCCAAGAGGATTAATTCTGCTCAGAAGAATGTAAATCTGGAGGGTTACACCATTTTTACTGGTGGAGTAACACTGCAGTTCAAAACGTTGCCATTGAGGACAGGATTTAACTGGGATCAGGGAGGCAAATCCAGAAACAGTAGTTAAGTGCATCTTCATGAGCTGAGATCCACATCTGCAGCATGTAAAGAGAATTGTGCAGAGCCATAACCACAGCTCAGCAGTGAATCCGCCCTGACAGCCAGCGAGAGAAAAACAAAACACTGCCACCCACCGAACAGATAACTGAAGCTCTTTCCACCTCCTGCCTACCCTTTTGAAAAGCACAAAAATAGGGGGAAAAAAAAAATCTGGCTGTGGCTAGTGCAGCCGCAAGTGTCACCAGACAAAAGAGTAAACAATGGCAGAGATGAAGATCTCTCCCTCGGTGGCAGCACCGTGCAAGAGCTGCTCAGGCAATTCCAGCAGCAGCTGCTCCAGCCTGGGGACAGAGCACCATCTCTGCAAGGACTTCCCTGGCAAACGGCCCCGAGCCAGCATTTAATGTCCAAGGGCTGGCAGGGGACTCCCCAGCAGCCCAGCACTCTATCATAATTAGCAGGTTGCTATTAAATAAAGATCTTGGAGGAGAAAGTTCCTCCCTCAGTTTATACCTTTGACCTCGCTGAAGTTAAATCCATGTTGAAACTAGCCACTGGAGACCCACTCCTGCAAATCTTAATCAGACAGCAGATGCCTGCTGCCAGCAAGAATTGGAGTGCTGCTAGTAAACCCGTAATGCCATGCTGTTACTCCATAGGGGAAGAAGCCCCGTGCCTGCTAAAACTGGTTATTTAACACATCGATTTTGTGAAGTCCCTTCAGCTCTGAGGTAAATGACTGTAGAGCAGCGGGTGGTGCCTGGATCTGGCACCAGGCAGGTGCTGGCAGCCTGATCTGCCACGGGGAGCAGAGATCGCCAATAGAGCTGCCCACAGCCATGCTTTGTTCACTTTGCATCAATGCAACATGGAGAAGAGCAGAAAGAGGAAGCTCATTGTTTTCCTCTTCAGCTTCATGCCAGCCGTGGAGCACAGGACTCAGTGCCGTGCAAAGATTGAGCATGGATGTCACAGGACATTACGCTGCCTATCAATAACACGTGTGACTTTTTTTTCTCCTCTCTGTAGGAGAAATAATCTTGAACTCTCTGCAGCTGAACCACACTCTGTTCGCACAGGTCTGAAGGACTTCCCTTGGGCCAAGAGGGGAAGGGAGAGAGGGGGGTGATGACATGCCCCAGCTCAGTGGACTGCTGGAGGAGCAGCACTCCTCTAGGAACTTGTTCCCCTCAGCTATCCTGAGTACTCCCATATCCTTCTCACGTGCTACATCCCCATACCCCATCAGAACACTGGTGGACAAGTCATAGGTAGAGCACAGCACAGGTCAGTGAGACAAAGCCGTGCCGGCCATTAGGAGCTGTGCTGCTGTCCTCATTCCTGATAATTCTTTGCCCCTGCATGTCCCTTCTACCCATCATTAGTCTGTTTCAGATAGTGATGGGTTGTTAGAGTGGTATGATTTGGTTACGGTTGGAGTTGATAATCTTTAAGGTCTTTTCCAACCTGAGCAATTCTATGATTCTATGTTTTTGGAGAGGAAGCTGTCTATGTGTTTGTATGACTCAGCTGGGGAAAGGCCCAGCTCACAGTGGCCCAACTGCACCAGGCATTGGTAGTGCTGGGCCAGTGCGGTGAAGCTGAGTGCTTGCTCCCAGCTCTCACAGAGTGATTCC